GGCCTGGCGGCCAGAGTCCCCGAAGCGACCCTCGGGCGGAGGGTAGCGTGGCCTGGCGGCCAGAGTCCCCGAAGCGACCCTCGGGCGGAGGGTAGCGTGAGGCTTTTTCACCAACTCAGCGGGGGGGTTCCGACCGAAACACGGTGAGATTCCCCGGGGGGGGAAGGTACCACTCCCTCCCGGGGTCCCTTCCTACCAGAGTCTCCACTGGGGTCTCCCAGGAGTCGACGGATACTTGGTGCTCGGCGAGTTCGGTCGTCCCCTGGGTCTCCTCTAAGCACCGGGGCGCCGGCGGGCCATGGACGGCGTCTCTTCCCGGCATAGCCACCGGCTGTGGCTGGTCCGCCGCAGGAGCTTCCCCGGCAGGTCCTGCGCCTACGGGCTCCAGCCCAGATTGAGCCGGTCTCCCTCCCTTTATACTCCTATAGCACTTGGAGCATGCCCAGTCCGCCCAGGGAGGCGGGACTTCCGCTGTCAGTCCCTGGGGCTTAACTCCTTCTGGGTTAAGGTGGGGTTGCCTGGCCCCTCCCTCTAGTCCCTGGGGCTTAACTCCTTCTGGGCTAAGGCGGGGTTGCCTGGCCCCGCCACACACCCTCCCCCTTAAGAAGGACCGTCCCCGGGGCTGGTCCGTCTCCCCAACCTCCTTTCCCTGTCTAGAAAAGAAATCCGCGTTAGCATGCGCCTTACCCGGACGATGAAACACACGGAAGTCACACGAGGGCGCTCGTAGACTCAGGATGTAGTCAGACCCTCGTACGGGAGGGGCTGGTCCCGAACCTTAGACTTGCGGGGGACTTATAGTGTGTACATGGGGACATCCGCCCTTATCCCACCGCCTGGGTGAGGATTGGGATAGGGCAGCGGGAGGAAGTCCTCCACGTGGGCATAGCCCCCAGATTGGCCTACCCCGTAGTGCTGGGACGGGATTGGCCCGAGTTTAGGGAGGTCCTCCAACAGTATCAACTGTCAGCTCCGCAAATCGAAGGAGCTACGTCTCCAGGAAAGGAACTCCTCGGACGCACGCCAGAGACAGACCCCGGGGAGGGGACGTCTACAGCGGGGCAGACGCCCGCTGAAGCCCAACCTCAACCCATGGAAGAGGCTCAGAGGGAGTTGGAACGAGATATTGACTTTGTGTGGGAACAGAGAGAGGACCCAACGCTGAGTCGGGCTTGGGAGCAGGCCATTGCCCCCGGAGCGGGAGAGGTCCAGCGGGACCGCCTATATCAGGTGGTGCAGGAGCCCCATACGCCTGAGGCCCTCCGACAGCTATTGGTTCCCCAGAGGTTGCGACGAGGCCTGCTACACTTGGCACGTGCCAACCCATGGGCTGGACATCTGGGGCGGGAAAAGACCCTTCAGAGGGTGGCCCGCCGTTTCTTTTGGCCCGGCATTCACCAAGAAGTCCGAGAATATTGCGCATCCTGCCCAGAATGCCAACGGGCAGGACCAAAAGGTGTACCCCGAGCCCCGTTAATACCCATGCCGGTGGTCGGCATACCCTTTGAACGTATTGGAATGGATTTAGTGGGACCCTTAGAAAGAAGCAAGACAGGGAATCGATTTATTTTAGTAATCGTGGACTACGCGACCCGGTACCCCGAGGCTGTTCCCCTCCGGGCGGCCACGGCGCCGGTAATTGCCGCCGAACTCGTGAAGGTTTTCGCTAGGGTCGGGATACCCGCGGAGATCCTGACGGATCAGGGTACTAACGTATCCTCGAAATTGATAGCAGAATTGTGCCGCCTCCTGAAAATACGGACGCTGCGAACGTCAGTTTACCATCCCCAGACAGACGGGCTGGTGGAGCGTTTTAATGGTACCCTGAAGTCCATGCTGCGGAAGTTCGTAGAGGAAGACCCCAGCCATTGGGATACATTATTGCCCGCCCTGCTGTTTGCCATAAGAGAAGTACCCCAAGGGTCAACCGGGTTCTCGCCCTTCGAACTTCTGTACGGCAGGCAGCCCTGAGGGATCCTGGACCTCTTAAGGGAAGACTGGGAGACTCAGGAAATTCGCGTGCTCGGAACCACCCAGTATGTGCTACATCTGCGAGAACGGCTCCAAACCTTGGGGGTTTTTGCCCGGGAACATCTGCGACAGGCCCAGGAGACGCAGGTTCAACTATATAACAGAGGGGCTAAGGCACGTAGCTTTAACCCCGGGGAC